TTGTGATTGGTAGACTGGCTGTCATTGGTACATGGATTGTGATTGGTAGACTGGCTGCCATTGGTACATGGGCTGTGATTGGTAGACTGGCTGTCATTGGTACATGGGCTGTGATTGGTAGACTGGCTGTCATTGGTGCATGGGTTGTGATTGGTAGACTGGCTGTCATTGGTACAGGGGTTGTGATTGGTAGACTGGCTGTCCTAGTGCGGTGGTAGTGTCCATGCATCTGGGATAGAAGGCTCAGGTTTGAGTGACTACTGTCCCAGAGGTGTGTAATAACGTGTCTGAGTGGGTTAATAACTCTGAATTGTCCTTTGATAAAATGTAACATTAACTCCCACACACTGTGGTGATTTTATTTATTAGTTAGATCTCTTAGTTAGTTATTACTCAATGACTGAAATGTTTCCGTCTTGTTTCCATGGCAGCGTGCTGAACCGGACTCCTGCTTACCTTGTCCATGAGATCATTCTGGTCGATGACTTCAGTGAGGACCGTAAGTGTTTGGATAACATTCTGGCACAGAAACCCTCAAATCTCCCCATCCCTGTAACATTGTTCTAAAGGGAATTAGATTAGATCTGTGAAAATGAAGAATAGAGAAATGAGAAGCGTGACAGGCTTAGAAGAGGTTGATCCAGTTAAGAAATAAACACTGGCATAGTTGCAATGTGCTGAGTGGCCTCGTTGGGTGATGTAGATTTGAACTTTCTCTCCATTGCTTCAGTAACACTGACATCCACTGACCCAATCAGTGTGTGAATGTCACATTGTGTAAACTGTAAAAGCTGAAGGCAGAGTTGGAAGGCAGATTTCAGAATCTCGGTGAACAGTACCATCAGAGGACAGAGCCTGCAACTGCAACGATACAGTCAATTGTTTACATAGGAAATTTCAATTCTGAATGTTTACGTTGGCTGTATCAGAGTTAACTGTTAGTATGAAAATATCAAAGACTTTCCATGGTATGAGAGCAGTTGTCCCATTGCATTGCCGTGCGGCTGTACATCGATCTCTCACTGGGCCTTTCTTACACAGACACGAGAGAATGGGCTGAAGAGATCTCCTCCAGTACTGCTCGCAAAACAAAGCTTTTCACTGTATTTAGGTACATGTGACTATAATAAATCAAATCAAATCAGGCAATTAGCAGCTGAATGGGAAAGATGCCAATTGGACTAGTGTCAGCATGTTCATATATACACTGCTGAATAAAACATGGAGGAAAGGAATAGGTTTAAAGTGGCTAAATGTGGACTTGCTGGAGTAATGCAGCAATTGAGATAGACGGTGGGATATGGGAATTTGATAATTACTGTAATGTGAGGACATTAGGAATTCTTGATGCTGGAATAACAGAAGTTCCCTTAGTCACTGAGACATTGGAACTCCCTGTAGCTTAGGGACATTGTGAATTTCAAAAGAGTCTGTTGATTTCAGAATTCCCAGTTGGAAAGTTAGAATTGCCATAGGTCTTGAGACATCAGGAGTCTCCCTGTACTTGAAGATACTGGGATTTGTTATAGAGTCAGTGACTTTGAGAATCCTCGTTAACTCCGGGAGGCTGGGAATTCCTCTATCCCGGGACGTTGGGAATTCCTGTTGTCTCTGAGACAGCAGGAATTCTCACATACTCCGGGAGATTGGATGTCCAAACCAGAACTTGGGAAGAGCTGTTCTATCTTGTACATGTCCACAAAGTGGAGGAATTTCACTGTGGGAGACCAGGGTCATAAACCTTCTGACAGTGATCGCTTTCACAACTGAGAGAGTTGTTTGGCCAACTCACATCTTTTAGAGTGACCACACACCTCCTCTAATTCAGAAAGTTATTTGAGCATTGATCTTTACCTCAAGAGACCTTGAACATCAAAAGGAGCAGTTAAGTGATGCCTCTGTTATAGAGAGCTCTGGAGTATTATGTTCAGTTCTAAGGAGAATGTATTGGCCAAGGAATGGGGACAACAAGGATCGACTGATGATATCCAGGTAAATTCTGAGGATACAAACCACTTTTCCAAACAAATGGTAGTGAAATCTAAAACTCCCTGCTCCTAAAAAGCCGTGAATGTTTGGGGTCAGTAGATCTGTCAGGACAGCATTTTGGATTTGGTAAGGGAGTTGAGGTACAATCCAGCCAGATCTAGCTGCCTAGTAAAGCAGATTCGAAGGGCTGAATGGCCTCTTATGCCTTTGTTACAAAGTGTTGGACTGTGTCCTCGGAGGGTAGTGGTCTCGATTGAGCACAAGTTGCTGGTCTAAGACCCATGAACCTGGACACAAAATCCGGCCTCAGAAGCGGACCCAAAACGTTAACTCCGTGTTCTCCTTCACAGATGCTGCCAGACCTGCTGAGCTTTTCCAGCAACTTTCTGTTTTGGTTCCTGATTTACAGCATCCACAGTTCTTTCGGTTTTTACAAAATCCAGCCTGCCACGTTAGTACAGCCCTGAATTGCTGAGTGAGTGAGTGCTGCACTATCAGAGGGTCTTTCAGTTGCTACATATAACTGAGGCCCCTCTCAGTTGGAGCTGAGAGATCCCCAAGACTATTTTGAGGGGGAATACTTACTGGTGTCCAAGCTAACACTTATCCACTGTTCAACATGACAAAGGGACACTGACTACATCACTGTTATCACATGGCTGTTTGTGGGAGCTTGCTGTGCACAGGGCAACTGCCACCTTTCCTACATTCCAACAAGTGACTGCACTTCACAGTCTGTAAAGCACCTTGAGAAATCCAATGGATGTGAAAGGTGCTACACAAATGTAAGTCTTTTTGATTTGACTGAAACCAGCCGGGAATGCTGGATTCTAATCCCGAGGTTTGCGCTCACATTTTGGGAACTCGTGTGTTTCGAAACACAAAAATAGGAACAGGAGCAGGCCATTCAGCCCTTTGAGCCTGCTGGGTCTTTCATTAGAAACATGGTTGATCATCCAACTCAACAGCATGTTCCTGCTCTTCCCCCTTTAATCTTTGATCCTTTTATCACCAAGTGATCTATCCAATTCCTTCTTGAAATCATATGATATTTTGGCCTCGAATACTTTCTGTGTTTGCAAATTCCAGAGGTTCACCACTCTCTGGGTGAAGAAATTTCTCCTCATCTCAGTCCTAAATGGTTTACCCCATGTCCTTAGATATGGTTCTGGACACCCCCACCAATAGCAATATTCTTCCTTCATCTACCCTACCTAATCCTGTTAGAATTTTAGATGTTTCTTTGACATCCCCCTCAGTCTGAACTCTGTCAAATATTATCCTAACCGATTCAACCTCTCCTCATATGTCAGTGCTACCATCCCAGGAATCAGTCTGGTAAATTTTTAATGCATCCCCTCCACAGTCAGAACATCCTTCCTCAGATAATAGGCCAAAACTGCACACAATATTCTACATATGGTCTCACCAAGGCCTTGTATAACTGCAGCAAGACATCCTTGCTCCTGTACTTGAATCCTCTTGCTATTTGCCTTCTTCATGGATCTCCATGCTTACTTTCAGTGACTGGTGTACAAGGATGCCCAGGTCTTGTTGAACATTCCCCCTTCCCTCTCAATTTGTAGCTGTTCAGATAATAAGCTGCCTTCCCTCTTTTGCTCCCCAAGTGGATAACCTCACGTTTATCCACACTGTACTGCATCTACCATGCATTTGCTCATTCGCTCAACTTGCCCAGATCGCACTGAAGCATCTCTGTGTCCTCCCCACAGTGCACCCTCCCACCCTGCAGTGTGTCATCTGTAAATATGAAGATATTACACTTAGTTCCCTCACCCAAATCATTAATATATATTGTGATTAGCTGGGGTTGTGGCACTGACTCCTTTAGTACCCCACTGGTCACTGCCTTCTGGGAATACTGCGGCAAGTAACTCACCTCCTGACTCCTCAAAGCCTGTCCACCATCTACAAGGCACAAGCCAGGAGTGTGATGGAATACTCCCCACTTGCCTGGATGGGTGCAGCCCCAACAACACTCAAGAAGCTTGACACCATCCAGGACGAAGCAGCCCACTTGATTGGCACTACATCCACAAACATCCACTCCCTCCACCACCGACGCTCAGTAGCAGCAGTGTGTTCTATCTACAAGATGCACTGCAGAAATTCACCAAAGATCCTCAGACAGCACCTTCCGAGCACACGACCACTTGCATCCAGAAGGACAAGGGTAGTAGATATATGGGAACACCATCACCTCTAAGTTCCTCTCCAAGTTACTCACCTCCTGACTTGGAAATATATCGCCGTTCCTTCACTGTCGCTGGGTCAAAATCATGGAATTCCCTCCCTAATGGCATTGTGGGTCAACCCACAGCAGGTGGGCTGCAGCGGTTCAAGAAGGCAGCTCACGCCCACCTTCTCAAGGGGCAACTAGGGACAGGCGATAAATGCTGGCCTGGCCAGCGATGCTCATGTCCCACAAGTGAATATAAAAAAAATTCAGACAAAGACGTTTATTCCTGCTCTTTGTTTCCTGTCTGAATCTCCATCCGAATGCCCCAACCCTAATCCCATGTGTTCTAATTTTACACACTACGCTTACATGGGATTTTGTCGAAAGCCTTCTGAAAGTCCAAAAAAACACATTCACTGGCTCCCCTCTCATCAACAATACAATTCAGAACCTTTAAAATTCCAGTCAATTTGTCAAGCACGATTCCCCATTTATAAATCCATGCTGACGCTGTCTGACCGTGTCACTGTTTTCCAAGCACTCAGCTACTGAACCTTTTATAACAGACACTAGCATTTTCCCCATTACTGACATCAGGCTGACCAATCTACAATTCCCAGTTTCCTCTCTACCTCCCTTTTTTAAATAGCAGGGTTACATTAGCTAGCCTCCAATCTGTAAGAACTGTTCCAGAGTCTCGAGAATTTTGGAAGAGGACCACCAATGTATCCACCATTTCTAGGGCCCCTTCATTAAATCCTTTCGGGTGTAGTTTACCAAGGCTTTCAATCCCCATTTCCCAACAAATATTAATTTTCTTTAGTCCTGTCTTCTCACTAAACCCAACATTCCTGAGGAGCACAGATACAAAGTATGTATTTAGTTGGTTGGCTATTTCTTTGTTCCATATTATAAATTTCTGACTGCAGGAGGAACTTCACACAGACACAGGGAGAATGTGAAAACTCCACACAGATAGTTACCCGAGGTTGGAATCGTACCCAGGTCCCTGGTGTTGTGAGGCAGCAGTGCTAACCACTGAGCCACTGTGCCACCATTATGTTCCCTGCAAGCTTACACTCATGTTCTATTTTTCCTTTTGTAATCAAGCCCTTTGCTGAATTCTAAATGGCTGCCTGTCCTCAGGTCTGTCGCTGTTCTGGCCAATTGATGTGCCTCTTCCTCGGATCTAATACGATCTGTAATTTCCATGGTTTGGAACCTTTCTCCTTTTACCTTTGTGCCAAACAGGAATGAACAACTGTAACAGCTCACCCATGTGCTTTCTGAAAGTCTGCCATTGCCTTTCCACCATCATCCCTTTAAGTAATGTTCCCCAATCTCTCAGCCAACTCCCACCGCATACTTTCCTCTGTTTTGATTCAGGACTTTAGTCACACAATCAACTCCATAATTCGCCATCTTGATGAGGAATTCTCTCATATTATGGTCATTCATACCCAAGGGATCTCACAGAACTAGACTGCTAATTATTCCTTTCTCACTGTACAATACCCCATCTAGGATAGCTGTTCTCTAATGAGTTCCTCAACATACTGGTCCAGGAAATTATCCCATAGACACTCCAAGAATTCTTCCTCTACGGTATTATTACTGATTTGATTTTCCCAATCTAGATGCAGATTAAAGTCACCCATAATTACAGATGCTCCTTAATTGCAGACACTTCTAACTTGCTGTTTAATACCATTCCCAATATCACCCCTACAGTTTGGGCTATATATACAATTCTCATTAATGCTCAGAGATAGCAAGAACTGCAGATGGCTGGAGTCAGAGTCAATACTGTGTGGAGCTGGAGGAACACAGCAGGTCAGGTAGTCCTGCTGAAGGGTCCCAACTCGAAACATCGACTTTCCTGCTCCTTTGACACTGCCTGACCTGCAGTATTCCTGGTATTGAGTCTCACTAATGCTGTTTGCCCCAGGTGTTTCTTAGCTGTACCATACAAATTCCATCCACCTTGTCAAAGCTAATATCCTGCCTCACCATTGAGTCAAATTTCCTTGTTAAGCAGCAATGCAACTTCGCCACCTTTTTGTCTGTCCTTCCTAAATACTGAATAGCCCCAGTTATTCAGCTTCCATCCCTGGTCACTGCAGAAATGTCTCTTTAATCCCATACCTGTTTTCAACTACTTGCGCAATTAATTAATCCACCTTATTGAGAATACTCTGTGCATTAAAGCACAAAGCCTTAAGGCTTGTCTTTTAAGCATTACTTGTCTGTTCCCATTAGTTTTCACTGTGTTCCTGTTTGATCCTGGTCCTTGATTTCTCTATCACTTTTCTCATTCTCCCTCTGACTCCTTGCCTAGATTCACACACCCCTGCCATTTTTGTTTAAACCCTTCCGCAGCCACTTTCGCAAATACTAGGCCATCAGTTCCAGTCCTGCCTGTCCAGTTTATATCGGTCCCATCTCCCCTGAAGCAGTCCTAATGCCCCAGGAATCTGAAACCTGTCCCCACACACTATCCCTTTAGCTACATATTCCTCTGCTAAATCCTGCTATTCTACTCTGACTAGTGTGTGGCACTGATGGTAATCCTGCGATCACTACCTTTGAGGTCCTACATTTCAACTTACTTCCGAACCATCCTGGTATCTCGTTGGTGGCTACAGAAATGCCTGTCTAATCCCCTTTCAGTTAATTCCCCTATGACAATTTCATTCTCATGCTTTCTCCTCAATTCCGCCCCCTCAATAGTATCCAAAGTGGTCTGCCTGTTTGTCAGGGGAATGGTCACAAGGGGTTCCTACACTCCTAACTCTGTCTGGTGGTCACCCATTCCCTCCCTGCCTGTGGAGTGTGAGCCTGCTCCCTGTATGTGCTACCTACAATACCCTCAGCTTCCCGATTGATCCACAGTGTCTCCAGCTGCCACCCCAGCTCGGAAATCTGGGCTTCTGAGAGCTGCAGCTCTGCAGACACTTCCCGCATGCATGCTGTTTCCAGGCACTGAAAATGTGCCCAGCTTCCCGTTATAGAGCAGGAGGAGCACACCAGGGTGTGAGTACTCTTACCCTTTTGGAAGATGTCTAACACTAAACGATATCAATTATGCCCTGGTCCTTGTTACTATTGAATGTTGTCCCTACTAATTAGAGACCCCAAAGAAAGTAAATTGCCTCTGGGCCAAATTCCCACGATGCTGCAAATTCTCAGAAACCCACACTCGCTCTGGCTGTGCCTCACTCAGGATGTGCTCTCTCCCAACTGCTGATACAAAGTGTACTAAATTATATCCAACTTATGGTTAACTTCTTACGCTGGGAGGCACTGGTGTAATTGGCCTGGGCTCAGGACCCCAGACTGAAATTCAGGGGACATGGGTTTGAATTCGCCCGTAACAGATGGTGAAGTTTAAATTTGATAAAATCCCTTACAGCCATCCTGACCTACACGTGACTCCAGACCCACAGCAATGTGGTTCTCGATTAACTAACTTCTGAAATGATCTGCTCAATTCAAGGAAAATTAGGGATGGACAACAAGACTTTGTTTAAAAAAAAAATCCTTAATCTGTGCCTTTCTCTCCATCCAGCTGATGATTGCCAGCTGTTGACCAAACTTCCAAAGGTGAAATGTCTGAGGAACACGCAGCGTGAAGGTGAGATGGGGAGGTTTGCTTGGATTACAAACTCTGTGTCTGTTTGTTTTCTACGTCACACACGACAGGGCTTCAAACGTGTGTGGCCCCTTTAATTAAAGGGGCAGCTCCTGCAGGGGTGAGATTGGGGGATGGGGAGCGTAGGGTAGCACAGTAGTCCAGCCTGGGCCTCCAAAGATACCACGCTTCATTTCTGGTGTCCCATTCAAACATCAAGTTTCCTCTCTCCCCTCCTGAAGACGCAGACCCAGAATTGAGGTATGGTTCTACAGGGCATTCAGGAACCAAAACACAGCACCACTGCTACCCAGCTATTAGACCACAGAGCTCTTCACCCTTCCTTACCCGGCAGCCACAAGGCCGTACTTTACAGTGACTAAGTCCGGCTAGGGTGAGAGTGGGGGGGCAGCAAGGAGGCGAACCTGATGAGATTTGACCCAGCTTGGCTATGATACTGAGGCCAATCTGCAAAGTGCTCCCACTGAGCTGTGGCATCAAGGAGTCCTGGCAAAACTGGCATCAATGGGTATCGGGGGCAAATTCTGAGCTGGTCGGAGTCATACCTGGCATATAGGAAGACGGTTGTGGTTGTTGGAGGTCAGTCATCTCAGCTCCAGGATATCTCTGCAGGAGTTCCTCAGGGTAGTGGCTTGGCCCAACCATCTTCAGCTGCTTCAGCAATGACCTTCCCTCCATCATAAGGTCAGAAGTGGGGATATTAACCAGTGGTTGCACAATGTTCAGCAACATTTTGCTATTCCTCAGATACTGAAGCAGTCCATGTTCACATGCAACAAGATCTGGACAATATCCAGGTTTGGGCTGACAAGTGGCAAATGACATTCGTGCCACACAAATGCCAGGCTATGACCATCACCAATAAGAGACAATATAACCACCATCCCTTGACATTCAATGGCGTTACCATCACTGAATCCCCCACTATCAACATCCTGGGGGTTACCATTAACCAGAAACTGAACTGAACTAGCCAATATAAATACAAGAGCAAGTCAGAGGCTATGAATCCTATGGCAAGTAGCTCCTCAAAGCCTGTCCCACCATCTACAAGGCACAAGTCAGGAGTGTGATGGAATACTCCCCACTTGCCCTGGATGAGTGCAGCCCCAACAACACTCAAGAAGCTTGACACCGTCCAGGATAAAGCAGCCCACTTGATTGGCACCACATCCACAAACATCCCACTCCATCCACCACCGACGCTCAGTAGCAGCAGTGTGTACTATCTACAAGATGCACTGCAGAAATTCACCAAAGATCCTCAGGCAGCACCTTCCAAACCCATAACCACTTCCATCTAGACGGACAAGGGCAGCAGATACATGGGAACACCACCACCTCCAAGTTCCCCTCCAAGCCACGCACCATCCTGACTTGGAAATATATTGCCGTTCCTTCACTGTCACTGGATCAAAATCCTGGAATTCCCTCCCTAACAGCATTGTGGGTCAACCCACAGCAGGTGGACTGTAGTGGTTCAAGCAGACAGCTCACCCCCACCTTCTCAAGAGGCAACTAGGGCCGAGGGCAGTAGATACTGGCCCAGCCAGCAACAGCCACATCCCAAAAGTGAATAAAGGAACATTTTCGATTGAGGCCTGTCTGAAGCCAGAGTCAGCATTTCTCCGGGGGTGAGGGATGTGGGAGTTGGGAGGGCGGTGTGACAATGTGACAGTCGGACCTACGATGGGGGAATGAGCTAAACCTCACAGTGCAGCCGCAATGACAGGACCAA